GGAAAGAGACAGCGGTGGGAAAGAGACAGAAATCTTTAATTAATAAAGAAATAAATAAATTAAAAAAACACTTATGAGTGAGTACATATGATAGTTGTCTTTCTGGGTCTGCGTTACCTGACTCAATATAATGTTTTCTAGATCCATCTATTTGCCTGCAAATTTCAAGATGTCATTATTTTTTCTCTGCTGTGTAGTACTCCATTATGTAAATGTACCACATTTATTATCCATTCTTTGGTTGAGGGGCATTTAGGTTGTTTCCAGGTTCTGGCTATGACAAATAGTGCTGCTATGAACTTAGTTGAGCACCATGCACAAAACTCAAGTCCAAATGGATCAAAGACCTCAACAGAAAACCAACCACACTGAACCTCATAGAAGAAATAAGTGGGAAGTACACTTGAACGCAATGGCACAGGAGACCACTTCCTAAATATAACCCCAGTAGCACAGACACCGAGAGGAACAATTGATAATGGGACATCCTAAAACTGTAAAGCAAAGGACACGGTCAACAAGACAAAACGGCAGCCTATAGAATAGGGAAAAATCTTTACCTCTTCTTGGCTGCCATGGGTTCACAGGGTTTCCTCTGTCATGCACACCCACTGTGATATCCTGAGCCACCACAAACCCAAAGCAATAGGAACTGAGACCGCTGAGGAAATGAACCTTTTTTTATACTGTGCATATTTGTATTTAGGTGGGTGTGCATGCATACATGTTAGTGTGAGTGCATAGGATGTGTGTGTGTGCGCACGCAGATATACATGTGTGTACATGTATTTAGGGAGCCAGAGGACAGCAGAGTGTCATTGCTCAAACATTTCCCATCTTGCTTATTGTGACTGGGTCTCTCACTGGCCAGTGTGGCTATGCTGTCTGGTGGTCAGTGAGCTCCAGGAATCTACCCATTTCTGCTTCCACGCAGTTGGATCACAAACATGCCACCAAGCCTGTTTTATTTTTCAAAATGCAAGTTTAGGGATTTGAACTCGGGTCCTCAAGTGTTTTACTGACTGAGATATCTCCCCGGCTCCATCTCTTTTATCTTTATTAATTTATTTCAGGCATTTATGACAATGAGAAGCTAACTAATACATAGGTTCAGGTTCATACTGGTCAGCTCCTGTGGCTCAGGGGGTCAAGGGTGACAGTGTCAGTTCAGGATAAAGTCAGAAAATGGCAGGCACCCGGGCCACGTCAGAAGATGCCTAGCGTGAGGCCAGCTTACCTGAGCTTGGTCCACGTGCATGATCCCTGTGCCCATCTTTTTTCTAAGCTGCATCTGCTTCTCCAGCTTCCTCCTCTGAGTCTTTTCTATCCACAGGTCATCCAAGCTGAAATGGGAGTGCCGAGGGGCCCTCCTGAGCTGTGAAAGGCCCTCTCTGGGGACTTGCTCTGTGAAGATGGAGGGTGGGGCCCATGTCACTACTTCAGTGGCAGATACCAGCCGCTGAGGAGGCTCTGCGTAAGAAGTTCTCTGATCACAGGACGAACCGGCCTTCTTGTCTGGAGGTTTTTTCAGGGCGCTGTAGCTCTAGAGTGCAGAGGAGATGCCATCAGAGATAGAAGCAAGGGTAAAGCAACTGGGGGTGCAGTTCTACCCCCAGAGTCTCTTAGATATAATACGTTGTTCTGACTTATTTTCAAAGTAAAGATTACAACGAGATGCTTCATTCACCGTCATTTCGAAAAGTAGTAAGATGAGACAAAAATAAATCTTGTTCCTGTTATAATGCATTTCAAACAACAAAGGCTTTTGATTTGATCAATGACATCTGTTAAAGTACCCAATGGACTTGGCATGCTCATTAGAAATTCCTGTGTATGCGTGTGTGTGTGTGTGTGTGTGTGTGTGTGTGTGTGTGTGTGTGCGCGCGCGCATGCTGATCCACACGTGCACAGGCATGTGGAGGACAGAGGTCAACTTCAGGGGTCATTTCTTAGAAGTGGTCACCTCATTTTCTGATACAAGGCCTATTGCTGGAAAATGGGGCTTACTGATAAATCTGGGCTGTTTGGCCCACAAGTCCACTTCCCCAATGTTGAGATTCATGTGTACGCCATCATGCCTAGCTTTTTGATGGGAGTTCTGGGGAATGCATTCAAGGCCTCACGCTTGTGACAAGAGCACTTTCCCCACTGAGTCGTCTGTGTGTCCCAGAGCTATTGCTCCAGTAGGACACATTGCAGGCACAGTTCTCACCACCCCACTGCTCTCACTGGCCCAGTTCACAGCTAGCCCTGAGGCACCACAGCCACCTCAAGGTAAAACCCATCCACAACAGAAGACTAGTAGGACTTTGTGTTCACGTTCCCACTGTCTGTTGGACTCAACCCATGATCACTGCGAGAAGAAACTATTCCCATGTTCATAAAAATGAATGCATTAAAAATAGTTCAATCAAAAACTCCCAACTATAATTGGAGCTACCCTACATAGGGATTTATGCCTTTTCCAGAAGTCATAGGTTACCAAATACAAAACCAAGTATCAGATGAAGGCTGCCCTCCCCTCAAGTTGTTAGAGGTGTCCAGAGACCTCCAAACAAAATAGACTACAATCAACATAGCTCATTGCTGCCCACGTGATGTTGTGAGTCTATTGCTGAAGATATCACACATGGTGGTCACAGTAGACATGGAAAAGTTAAGTTGGTAGTGACCAGAGAAGGTCTTCCCTACTGAGTAGAAGGTGCTACACAGGTTGCTGGGGGAGAAGAGACATCAGTGGTCTTATCTGTGAGCTATATGACCAGCAGGCAAAATATGCCCATGGGTCAAACCGAAACACATGTTACAGGGGTAACCAACTGGTTTCTAATTAGATTTGAGATCCACAGCACAGGAGAAAACATGCTTGGTACTGCACATCTGGCCAGAACCTATGACTCAGGAGTTCTCTGGATGTTTACTATTGTCATTTTGCTAAATGGGCATAGAATCAAAACTGTTCTCTAAATGCCTATCTCTCTACTGTAGATTAGCGCGGCCCCCGGACCTTATCATATATTTCTCGGTGTCATGGATGGCAGTTAATGCAGAAATATAGCCAGTGAGTGCAGAGAGTGTCAGCGGAGAGTTTAGTTACAAGCAGAACCACACCCCATGGGTCATGGACCATCACAGAAGAGGGTGTAGAGGTTGGGGAGGACTAGAGACAACCCATGTCTTCTGTACAAGACAGGGCTATTGTTTTCATGAACTCGTAGCAACTGTGGTTGCCTGCACAGTTCCGCCACAGGATCAAGCAGGTCAACACCCTGATATAGAGCAGGAAGAGGCATCTGAGCCCTGTTCCTGGCTGAGGACCTGTTGACAGTAGATGGCTTACAAGGGAGAGAGAGTTAGTATTCTTTAAGGGTATGGCCCCTGACAGGTTGATAACACTCTAGTGGATGGACCTATACCCAGGAGTTTATGAGCAGCACAAACTGGATTCTTTGGATTAAAGAAAAGAAGACTCGAAGTTGGGAGCTATGTGGAGGTTAGGGGAGGATCTGGGAGGAGTTAGAGGAAGGAGGGGGAGGATATGATGAAAATGCATTGTACCAAATTCTCAATGAATTAGTAAAAATGTATCAAATTACATAGAGATTAAAGAAAAAACTTCAACTATTGCCCTGGAGAGATTCTTAAGAACACTTGCTACTCTTGCAGAGGTCAAATTTGGTTGTCAGCACCCACATCGGGGGGCTTTCACAACTGTCTTTACTTTCATCTCTAGGGGGGGAAGCAATCTTTTATGGGCTCACACTCACACACACATAATTTAGAACTTTTTAACACCCTCCAATTAACTGCCTCAACTCCAGTTTCTGCAGGATGTTGGAAGCACTTGATTTGATGATGTCATTTCTATCTTTGCTATTTCTTTACTTGGGAGCCTCACCAAAGGGAATGAGGGGATGCTCTGCCTTACCCAGGACTTTTGAAGGGGAGCTGCAGCTGGCTGCCTTAAGGAGTGTCCTCAGCTGGTTTCAGCAGGATGTTTTAAGTTCCTGATTTGACCATGTTACTTTTCTGTTGATATTTATAAAAAACTTAGCAAATACAGCAGACAGTCCTTCTGCAGACATTTAATTATGTTTGATTGTGAAGCAAAACTTTATATTATATTGATGGAACTCTCACTGTATATGAAGGAATTATTTCAGACAATTAGAATGTAAACAAGGATGAATGAAGGGATTTAAATGAAGTAAAATTTCTACACTTCATGTCACTTGGTGAAATGCCTCTAACTAGGAGACCAGGAGACTGGAAAGATGTATGTGTACAACATAATGCCTGGAGCTGTTATTTAAAAACCAAATATACTACATACTAAATATACATTAAATAACTCTGAAAAATATTCAGGTGACCCATAGACCTTAGAAGAAATCAGAGAAGTGATACATACACACACATACATACACACACACACTCTAAAATGGAGATATAAGATACAAGTCATGAATAATTATTTTAATTTGTGGTGTATGCATATGTGGTATATACACACATGTGGTGTGTGTGTGTATCTCCTCCAACAAGGCTGCCACAACCCTTAATCCTTCTCAAACAAGTCCACTCCCTGGTAACAAAGCATTCAAATAATATGGGCCTATGGAGGCCATTTTCATTCAAACCATTGTAGGTAAACATGTAAAATTCTTTAAATACTAGCTAATGTAATTTAACAGTGTATTAAGAATTATGTCACTGAGGCAGCAACCTCCATGGGAGCAGGTAAAAAGGAGCAACTGCTGAGGGAGCAGGCCCAAGCCAGACACAACTGTGGGAACTGGCCTAATCCAGTGACCTTTGCCAGAACAGGCCCAAGGCAGCAACCTCCACAGAAGAAGATAAAAGGAAGTAACCAAAAAGGGAGCAGGCCTGAGCCAAAGACCTCTGCAGGACTAGGTGTGAGTCAGGGACCTCCGTGGGAGCAGGCTGGAGCCTGTGACCTCCATTCAAAGCAGGTCTGAGCCAGCGACCTCTGCTGGAGCAGGCCCAAGGCAGTAACTTCAGAGGGAGCAGCATCAAGCAAGCAACCTCCATAGGAGCAAACCCTAATGACCTCCAGGATTTCAAAACAACACCCAAGAGTGCTAAGCAACCTCCAGGAACACAGATTTACCTTCGAGGTGACTGTAACCATGGCCCTGAATGGACCACAAGGAGCAACAATCTGAGCCTTGGATCCACTGGCACCTGGAAGATTGATCACCAGAGACACAGACAGCCCCAACTACACTAATCAGATGAAAAGATGGGTGGACAAGGTAAGAACACAACACCAAAAAGAGCAACATACTGCTATCAAAAACTAGTGGTTCTGCAATAGTGAAACTTGAACACCCAAATATGAATGAAGCAGGGAAAAATGACCTAAAAAATAAACTTTAAGGGCCTCAAACATTCTTCTAAAGAGGGAATGAAAAATTCCCCCAAAAATGGAGGAAAACAAAAAACTAGAGGAAATCAATAAACCCCTTAAAGAAAACTAAGAAAAAGCAATCAAACAGATGAAAGAAAAAATTCAAGACTTGAAAACCAAAATAGAGACAATAAAGAAAACAAAAACTGAGGGAATTCTGGAAATGGAAAGTGCTGGAGATACAATAGAGAAAATAGACTTATTGGCCAAAGAAAACATTAAATCTAACAAAACCATAACACAAATTATCCAGGAAATATGTGACAACATGAAAAGACCAAACTTAAGAATAACAGGGATAGAAGAAGTCCAACTCAAAAGCACAGAAAATATATTCAACAAAATCATAGAAGAAAACTTTCCTAACCTAAAGAAAGACATGCATATTAAGATACAAGAAGCTTACAGAACACCAAACAGAATGGCTAAAAAAAAAAATTCCCTCAACACCTAATAATTAAAACACTAAACACACAGAATAAAGAAAGAATATTAAGAACTACAAAGGAAAAAGCCAAGTAACATATAAAGGCAGACCTATCAGAATTACACCTGACTTCTTAATGGAAACAATGAAAGCCAGAAGGTCCTGGTCAAGTATTATGCAGACATTAAGAGACTACAGATGCCAGCCCATACTACTATACCCAGCAAAACTTTCAATCACCATAGATGGACAAAACAAGATATTCCATGATAGATCAGATTTAACAAATATCTAGCCACAAACAGCCATAAACAAAGTACTAGAAGTACATAAACAAACCCAAGGAAGTTAGCTACATCCACAAAAACACAGATAATATGATCTTACAGCAGCAAGTACCAAAGAAGGGAAAACCATATACAATAATATCACCAACAATGAAAACTAAAATAACAGGAACTAGCAATCACTGGTCATTAATATCCCTTAATATAAATGGACTCAACTCACCTATAAAAAGATACAGGCTAACAGACTAGATACAAAACCAGAATCCATCCTTCTGATGCATGCAAGAAACACATCTCAACCTCAAGACAGACATCGCCTCTCTCAGAGTAAAGGATTGGGAAAAATTTTTCCAATCAAATGGACCTAAGAAACAAGCTTGTGTAGTTATTCTATT